AAAAAAAAAACTAAATTCCTTAAGAAATGCAAACTTGGTACATATTTACGTTTGATCTTATTTTCCTTAGGACGCCCAAACTACACTCTCAATGAAATCTTAATACTCGGATACTCTAGTAAGCACGGTCGGCACTTGGGATTGACAGCGTATAACAAAGGAATCTATGCCGACGAGTCGGTATTTATTTAATCTTGCAGCTTCCACTATGACCATAGGTCCACTAGCACTAATACACTCATCTCCCGATTGATTAACATCTTGTGCACACAATTGCGTTGTCCGAATACCATCTGCAATAAACCGGTTAACATATTTACTATAAGCATCTTGACACAATGGTATCGGAAGTATCCGTACGCGTACTGCACCCACAATTAGTTGACCATTGACACCTAGAACGACGAAATTTTATTAAAACTTAATAGAGATAATTAAAATAAAATCAAATATTAGAAAGTTTGTATAAAATGTCATACCCCAACGCGTGGCATACAGCTCAGTATTGTTTAACGGAATTGCTGCCGCGGTAAATAAGCAAACGGTATACACGAAAGAGGAATAATTAACGTCACTATACAATTCTACCAAACCGATATCTTTGTAAGCAGAAGCTCGTGTATAGTTGGGATGCACATGAATGGCCTTAACAATTTTACTTTAAATACTTAAATGTTTGATATGGTGTATATATATGTATGAATGTATATATGTATATGTATTTACTTTGATTTTCTTCTCTACCATGCCACTACTATGTTCCACATTGTCAAGGTTTGTAATACCCAGTCGCACAATCACAGGTTCGACGTCTGTTATACAATGAGCAGCGGTTAGCACGAAACGTTTATCAATTAAGGCGCCACTATATGGAAATGTGATATTCTCGTTTTCCTCTTGATGACCAATGAGTGCCATGTAGGGATATTTTCCAGGCGCAACGGCACTACCTTCGGTCGTCTGCGGTATCAAATTGGGTTGTAGTCCATTATCTAATGCCTCACAGGCTAAAAATTTCCTTAATTTTCCATAAGTACTTTTTTATATACATAAAAACGTATGTATAATATATATGTATATAGTAAATTTGTATGTAACAATAACTGTGCATAAATATATCGCATCTATTTACGCGATTATTCAAAATATAAAATAGCAAATGGCAAATATTAAATTATTTATGTTGATGTTAGCATGTCTCACTTATTACAATGCCACCGATTGAGCCGAATTTAATCTGAGGCTTCATATTTATAGCAAGAGTTATGTACTTATGTAAACATATATAGTATATATATATATATATATATAGTATATATTCACGTGAAAGTAGATGTGCATATTATTTCTGCTGATGATAAGAATAAAAGAATAACGTCGCCAACGATTTAATAGTAACAAGAATGTGAAGTACACACAAAATTCCATAAAATTAAATTATTAATAAACGCGAATGTATAAAACAAGAAAAGTTCTTTCAAATTTATTTAAAAACAAATAAAAAATTTAACTTCGGTTGCACCGATGTTATAATACCCTTCACAGGTGCATTTTTTGTAGCACAAAAGAATATAAGCAGGTAAATAGATCTTTATCTTGATTTTTATCGCTCGGTTTGTATAGCAGCTATATTACGGTGGGTCAAAAAAACGAATGTTTTTTTTGCTTGGAAATCTGAAAACATCGTTTGATTTGAGCTCTTAATTGTACCGGGAAAGTCTTCCGCCTTACAGTTTTCTTTTTTTTTATACATAAGATAGAAAAATTCATATCTTGCTTCCAACTACTTGAAAAAATATTTCCTTTTGTGGACTTTTCAAAAAAGGTCTGTTAACATTTTTTTGTAAACCCAACTGTTTGAAAGATATTAACGATTCGTCGACTCGTTTTTCAGAACATTCATTTCCACTCGGAATTCATTTTGAAAAAAACAAAAATGTGGAAATTAATTAGTGTAAGTGAAATATAGAACACCGAATGTCGGATTGAAAGTGGATGCACAACCTGCCTGAATACCTTCCTTGTAGAAATATTCTCCGAATCTTTGAAGTAAATCTAACAAATACTTTTCGAGTTATTCAATAATTAGCAATGATTTCTTATGCGCTCTAGAACGTTCGTGTAAAATTTCAAATACATTTTTCTTAAAATGGTGTTTTTTGAGCTGGTGACCACTGGAGCTCGAAAACCGCTCGGTACATTTTAGTGCAATTTATGTTTATAGCTTATTGTTTGAAAACATGAAAAACTAGTGCCAGATCGAAGTATTTTTTTTAATAACACTTCTCTAAATTGTTTATATACATTTATATATTAATAAATAAAAAGTGAAATTTTTTCCGCAAAAAGAGGAAACAAATACAGTAATGAAAACATACATTGAATAAAAAGAGAAAGATTATTATTAACCGGGCGTTTCTTATATACCTGTCTCTACGAGCATCCGTCAAATTTACGGCTGGATGAAAATACGTATTTATTTAAAAAAAATTAACAATATTAGGCTTTACGTAAAAATAAAATATTAATAAGTCAAATATTTTTTTAAGTTATTACGGAAATGATAATAATATAAAGGCTCTTTTATGCATTTTCTGCATACGATATTTTTACAATATCTGCTTCTATTGTTATTACAATAGCCCGATTGTCAACTTTTTCGCACTCGTGATGTTGAAAGTGCCTGATCTGAAACGTCTGAACTGTGACGAATGTTCTCCAGCTAAAGAAAATATAAATTCCTTTCTGGATATATTTGTTCTGGTACACTCTTTCTACAATATCCATACGTTTATCGCTGACAAATCTGAAATAAAATAATATTTATTATAAAATGTAATAGTTTCTGGAACACATTTTCTATTGTTTTCTATCTGTATATTTCTATGCTTGGTGCTTAATTCTTAGTGCTTGGTTCGTTTATCAAAACGTATAAATCTCAGAATTTGTATAAGTCTATCTCTGGTCACTGTGTCTCGGAAAAAAATTACCCCATTTTTTGGGCCATAGATGAGACAATTTCAATGATCTTACTTCGTAAGAGCCCCGGGCATATAGTATTGCTAGAAAACTACGTTATTAAGAAACTGTAATTTTCCAGTCTTTCTTCAAAACTCGACGTGCCTCGGTTTCGGTGCAGTCTTTTATATGTTTCATAATATGAGCGGCAATTATTAATTCAAAAGCACTAGTTACACAACCCGACATAATATTTATTTTTGCGTAACCAAATAATGTATAAATTCTTTAGAAGAAATGATTAGTTTACGATGCAAAACGGTTGAAATCGGTTAAGCGGTTTTCGAGATATTTCATTGCAAAGTTTGAGTTCCGTCAAATTTTCGGGTTCCGTAAACCTAGTTTAATAACCTTTGATATCTATCAGTTATGTTAGCTTCAACTAATGATGATTGTGGACTTATTGATAACGATGTATTGAATCGCATCGCTAGTGAAAAAAAATTTTATCATAGTTTTGACACAATTATTTGCGAGGATAATAGCTAGGTGGGTAACTTTTATGTAGAATTTTCTAATAATTTGATTGCCACTCCATAAGTTGGAGCTCAAAATAAATGCGGTAGTATTGTTGATTCGAAATTTAAATACGCAGCAAGTTCACTGGAGTTGCGTGATTCCACGCATATACTTGACGTATTCAGAGACTGCAATGCCACTTAATTTTCAAAGAACACAGTTTTCAGTCACCACCGCATTTGCTATGACAACAAATCCCAAGGACAGACATTTGATAGAGTTAGAATATTGTTGAGAATATCTGTTTGTTCGCATGGCCAACTTTACGTTGCAGCCGGTAGAGTTATATCATTTGACGGGCTTAAATTTTATGTCAGTAATGATGGTGGATAGGGCCATTTGGCTAATGAAAAGAGGTTGTTTACGAAAAATATTGTTTACACTGAAGTTTTGAGAGCGTTGTAATATAAAATATAGAATTATTATCATACATAATTATCATTTTTGAAATAGTTCAGTTTAAAGGCTTTTCAATATTTTAATTTTTTCATTCGTTCATTTCCTAATTTCATTTCTTTGTTTCTTGCTTTCACTGCATGTAAACGATTTGATTTCGTGATGGCAGAGGTTAGGAATTTGTTTAACAATTTACGACGGGAGCAAGATGTTGTGCAAATTCGCATTGTCGAAATTGTGTTAAACAATGAACGTGATCAAGTGAAAATTCATTGATCAATAACTGTGATCAATTGAAGAATCAATGCGATAAATTGCGTCTGTTGTTTCAGAAGAAGGTGCTGTTCTATGAAATTGTTGATTCCTATGCTGATCCTTTCCGATATCACCTGAAGACCAAATGTACGCAACAGAAGACAAAATAATTTCTTTGTTTAAAATATTTCAAAATGAAGCATCAGTTCAAGACTTCATCGGTATTTTATTGAAACAATTCATCAATATTTTATACTAATTATTATTTATCTTTCACAAGTGCATACGTGGCCACATATGACGATAAAGTCAAATTGGCCGATTTGATTCGATTGTTCATTCAAGGAAGAATTAAGCTAAAGCCAGAAACAGAACAAATGATTTTGCACGAGAATGAATTATAAATTTTAATTTTTTCATAATATATTTTTGTAAATTTTTTCTACAACTTTCTTTAGATTTAGTTCACATTGTGTTCAAATTCTTCCATAAAAATTAAATACTATAAACATTGTTGATAAATTGTATGTTTTATTGGTCGAATTTCGACCACTGGCGACCCTAGTACTTTTAAAAATATGAAATCTATAACAATATACCTGCTGAACTTGCACTCATTTTCTTTCAAACTATCACGCCTAACTGAACTCAAATTTTAGACTTCACTTCGAGTTGCTAAATATTGAATGAAAAAATAAAAAAGAAACAGTACTTTGTTTCAAAACTAATAGTAGTAATATTCGTTAAAGATAAGTATGTATGTATGTATGAAGTCCAATGCAGACTGTACGACTAACAGTGAGCTATTCAGTAGGTCTGACTCCACTTCAGATGCTTCTATTGTACATTCGAATAGCCAAACATTCCTGCAAAGGTAATGGGGGCAGAGAAATTAACTGCTCTGAAAGCATGGCTGTCGAGAAAAAAACTTTCTAATACGTTAAACATTTTATTAACTATTTTCCCACTTACTGCTTCAATGTTTTTGAAGAATAAGTCAAATACGACGTAGTGTTTTATGCTCTCATCACATCTGTATTTTTTTTTTTTTTGATGTTGTGGAGCAACTTTGTTTTGTACGATTTTGAAAATCAATTGTGTAAAAATAATAAGTCCATACATAGACTTTCAGTCAAAAATATTTTTTCAATTATACAAATTATATACGACAGTTAATAAGAAGATCTCAATCAAACATTTATTCATCGATCTAATCAATGAAAAAACAGTTCTTTTGAAATCTGTTGAATAGCATGATTAAGTTTTTGAACATGCAGCATAAAGTCCATCAATCTTCAATGATTTCGAACTCCTGCCTCTAGGCACAGTGTAGATAGTCCTGAAATCCTGCCCTGTGACGAGCATGATTGATGAAAATTTTTGATCCTTCCTAAAGCACTAAATGAACGTTCACCACTTGAAGCAGAAACGGGTATAGGGAAAAATATATTCAAAGCGATGCTAATATTTTAAAAAAGTCTTTCTAATTTTCTAGCGTTGCTCGCATTCAATAAGTTGTATGGAGTAAGACGGGTGATAGCAAAAGCGGGAAAATATTCATTTATCGATAATCACAACGTTTTTATAAATATTCGAAATAATCACCCATCTAAAGTATTCTAATTTTTAACTATTTTCCTAATTTGTTGGAAAATATGGGGCTCTTCGAAAACTCCGGGTTCGGGGAGAATAATTAGCAATTTTTTTTATTAAGATTGTCGTCTTTAGAGCAACACCTAGCAGCAGGTTTGCTCCGTATCCTTCTGACTCGTGCTGGGATCGGTCCAACCCGGGCCCCGAGGAATTCTTCCGCTGCATTTGCGCTAAAAGGCATCATCCAAACTCCACCTCAGTTAGGTGCAACACATGCAATGGATGGAGCTATCTTTAGACCTGTTCAGGCCCATAGGGAGTGGACCACAAGTTATGTGTTCGCACACTGCGCCGCCAGTCGAGTGGCGAAGAAAGGAACTCCACTCTTACAATTTAACTGCAACGGACTCCAGAGCAAGATCGAGAACATATGAGCACTTGTAAAAGCTCGCCGGATATTACCATCTCATTATAGCGATCGAGAAACCTACCGACTTTATTTCTGAGGGCAACCGCACCTTGGTTAACTTTGACAAAGCTAATTGGGTCGGCATCACAGAATTTACCGAGAGCACTTTAACCGCAATACTCATTTCTACGGACGTCATCGTAGGCGACAGTCAATTCCGAAATGTAATCGCTGCTTCTACCACTCGCTTTATATCAACGAGTGCGACACCTTATGCCATGCCGATCCCTGTGATCCCAACATGCTGATGCTAAAACATCTAGTCTCGACGGGAGTAAGCTATCTCACCAAGGTCTGCAACATGTCGCTGACCGTTCTTTAAATACCCGATGTGTGGAAAGTCGGAAGAGTGCCAACAAAGGGGAGTATTATCGACCGATAACTTTCGTTTCCCCAGTAGTGAAGACACTTGAGGTCTTGCTACTCCCAAAATTCACACACCACCTGAGTCTAATAGACCACTAGCATAGCTTTCGAAAAGTGCACAACACCACCACAACACTTAGCACCATAAACGCCCACATAGTTCATGGTCTAAACCCCAAGCCATCCTGTGAGATGACGATCCTCGTATCGTTGGACTTATCAAAAGCTTTTGACACAATCAATTATGCAATGCTACTTGAGGACATCGAACAATCTGGGCTGAAGAGGTGGACTAACTAACTGAGCGGTCGGCATTCATTCGAACTGTTTCGAGGTCAAAATTCCAAGCTGCGAAGAATTAAACAGGGGGTCCCGAAGAAGGGCGTCCTCTCCCCACTGCTGTTTAACTTCTATGTTTCGAATGTAACCCGATCACCAGATGGAATTTCCATGACCTCGTACGCTGATGACTTATCGTGCAGTCAGGGCAATGGAATCGATGGCATGTGATTTAGCTGCAGGGAGCTTAACACTCTCCGCCACTAAATCCACAGCGACCATATACATTAAGTGGACGAGCGAGTACATTCTGGATCTAAACATTACAGTCGATGACGTTAAAATTTCTCTACTGTTAATAACCCTAAAATTTTAGGTGTTACATTTTATAGCCTGGTCTCCTTCACTCCTTACACGACCGCGATAACTGCCAAAGGACAGAACCGCAACAAAATCCTCAAGTTGCTTGCCAGCAACTTATGTGGATAAGACAAAGAAACGTTGTCGGCAGCATACAAGGTAATCGGTCTTAAACTACACTGCACCGATATGGTCAACGGGATGTAGTGCAATGCAGACGAGGAAGTTTCAGATATCTCAGCAAACTGCATTTCGGACCATCACGGAATGCCTCTTGATGTCTCCAGCCGAATACCTACACAATGAGACACGTATGCTGCCGGTTAAGGAACACAACGAGCCTCTCCAAGCAGATTTTGTTGGGGTGTTTTCGTAAAAACCACCCCTGCAGTCGTCTGCTTGAAACCGAATCGCCTTCCAGGAGCATCAAGAGGTCTTTCCTTGATTACGTCGACGACATTGAACAGTACCAGTACCACTCATCGCAGACGAAATGCTAGATTTGCCACAAGAATCTAGAGTGACCCTTGCGCAACTTCGTTCTAGATACTGAAGCAGGTTAAACTCCTACCTATCCAGAATCGACGTCGATATACCAAATAAATGTCCACTCATTAAACATTCTCCCTATGATCCGAACCCCTCGAAACAGCTTGTTTCCTGGGCCTCCCGTTAGATGACAACCAAACTGAACCTTACCACCCAAACGGGGATTAGATAACCGCTACAACAACAACAACAACCCTTCTGAATGCTTCTTTGACGCATTTTATTTGTTGATTCGACCAGAGAAGGTAGATTTATAATATACATATATTATATAATATGAAAAAAACTAATAATCATCTGTACAGCGGCATCTATAAACAAGTTTACATAGAAATGACAGGTGTTGTTAGCTATTGAGCGCTATCTTTTGAGTAATAGTAGATTATGAAATCTTTCAGGCACCTCGTTATCGACTGATACAGCTGCAAGAACGTACGTTCTCTGCATCAACTAATTGCACTGCTTCAACTACTAGAACAGCTGATTGAGAAGTGAATTTAGTCAAACGTTGGACGAAACATACAATCATGGCATCAACCCAAAAATTTTTGTTACAAATTTGCAAAAGCGCGCCTAATCTGCTAAACCTTTCCAGCAAATTACAGGTGAGCTACTTCATTAAGTGTATAATTATGCATACTTACTTTTTTTCATTGAAGCGCTTGCCGGCTAGTGCTTTCGTGCGACATTCTAATTATCTATCATCTCCACCATTGGGCCCCCGCGAGGAATATCCTGAGGTAGAGATCGTGCGTAATGCAACTGAATGGAAATATGTTGAACGTTTGTTACCCCAAAAAACGATTCCAAATCCTGTTAAAAAGGCAGAATACCCATCGGGATGGAAGCCACAGACCGCCGCTACACGACCAGATCTGAAATATTTTGTAACACGCACTAAAAATCACATGGTACCTGTGTACTTACATACAACCTTCCGTGGTCAACGACGTATTACCATTATTCGACGAATTCAGGGTGATATATGGGAGTTGGAGCGTGAATTGCGCGTTGTGGTAGAAAAAGCTAGAAATGGCAAACTATGCGCCAGTCGAGTAAATGAAATGAGTGGTCAAATACACTTTCATGGCGATTATGTAGATGTTATACGGGAACACCTCAAAGAGAATGGCTTTTAAGTTGTGAATTTTGTTACCTAATTTTGTCACTGGATTGAGTATAAATACAAAATTTAAAGTATGTTCTATAAAAGTACAACTATGCCATTTTTATTTTATAATGTTAATGTTTTGTTTCTTATTTGTGGTGAATTGCGCTAGTACATAGTTAAGATATAGTTAGTTTAGCTTATGAGCGAAATGTTAAATCGAATTAGCTGAAGTGGCGAAATATAACATGTAAAATCGATTATGTAAGGATTATGTATATATGCCCTGAGAGAATTTAAATAATTAGAACCAACTTCATTACATACACATAAATTGTTAAATTTCAATTCATTTGATGATTTTATAACTAAAGGAAAACTAAGGACTATAGAATTGCAATTCGGCTTTTATCATACAGTCACAGAAGAGACTGAGGTCGCCGTAGATCGTTTGAGTGCTTTTCGTATAGCCGTCCAATCCTCCATAATATCTTCATCACGCAACATGTAAACAATGTAGGGACCAGTAACTGTAACAGCTTTTTTTCTCCCAGGACCACGCACTTTACTGGCCCGTCTATCAACAGCCCAATCTGACCAAGATATATCGACATTGTTACGATCTTCTTCCAGTCGTCGTATTCTTTCTATCAATTGCTCCTCTATCTGATCGATTGCTAATTGCTTTTCACTCTGAAATAAATAGCAAAACATTAGATTTGAAGAAAATTGTTAAAGAAACTTTGAAATGTTATATTTAAAGAATATTTTGTGCAATTTTAAGTAGTTAGTATAAAAACATAATTAAGGAAATAAAAAAAATTTCAACATCTTCTTCAGTGAACTTTTGAAAACCACAACTAAATTAACCCAAGTGGAAATATTTGTTTCAAAATGCGTAGTTGTTTTTGTAACTGTACAAGGCGTCCGCTAAGATGTGCATATTTATGTCTCATACGGAATATTGTTGTTGTTGTGTAGCGGTGGAAATCGTTCCCTATATAATTTTGAGGAATACTGTTGGGTTGACAGTCCTTAGCCGGATATAAATCCAAGCCTTCTGACTTGCGTGGCTATGCGCCTTATACGAAATTGTAGAATATCAATTTGCAGGAAAATCTTACCTCGAAGTTTTGTATTGCAGCTTGTGCCTCAGACTGATACTTATGTTCAATGTTTTCTAACCGAAACTGACGCAGCTTTTCCGCAACTTCTACGCGGTTTTCGTAAGCCTTGTCTAATTCTCTCAAGGGAATTAAGTATTCCTCTGAACGTCCTTCGCGCACATCAGCAATCTGTTGTTCATTTTGTTTATATCGCTCTTGATAGTACTGTTCTCGTAATTGTTCAAATTGCAGTTCGAGGCTGGCTAGAAGTTAGTAATGTTGTAGTAAAAGCACGATATAATGTATACAAACATTTCAAAAACATATCATTAGTACCTAAATCCTGACAATATTCACTTCGGATTCTATCCATTTCGATAAAATCCATATCAGACGAATCGTCAGAGTCCATTTCGTTAGCTTCCTCGTCCGTTGATTCTCGGTTCTGGCTGGAATTGGAATGATCGGAATCGGCCCCAGACACATCCTCAACATCTGTCGCCTCCCCTTCATTTTTTGCAGGCATAGTGTTAGCGTTCAAAGCCCGACTTAACGAACAATTACTGGGAATACAAAAAACTTTAACAGTTATTTATGTAAACAACTTCGTTTATTGCAAATTTTGGTTAATGTTCCCCAAGTACTTTCGTGACTGTGCTACCTGCGATTGCTATGTTGTTGTGAACTACAGTCCAAACGTCAAAGATATTATGATAAATGTCAAATTGTGTGGAATGTGAAATGTATGTTTTATATGCCATATTGTCACATATAGATGTCGCCATAATTACGTAAAACTATTGAATGAATTAATTTGTTATTTTGGAAATGCTATATGCTTATATTTTTATATATAAAAATAACTTAAAAATGTTGCACCAAAGGAATAGAATTGTATTATTCTAAATTCGAAATTATATTACAAAACACTTTTATAATTTGAACAAACAAATTTTATATTATTGTCTACATATAATTCAATTTTATTAAATCTATTATTAAAATATTAAGAAATATTTAAATTTTTTTAGATAATTTTCGCTGATTCTATAAATGATCATAAACTATAAAAACGTGCAATTTCTCACAAAAATATCGTCTTTACCGTGCACATTTAAGAGAGTATGGCGCTCGTTTAATTTGCAGAGCTGAGAAGTGATAATAAGTAAGCTGAGGTGTAGCTAGATTTCTGTAGTACAGTAAAATTAAGTAACTACTAAAACTATCTGACACTTATACCGGACAATAGCTAGGAAGTATGGATCATCAACCGATGTTTCGATGTTTTTGAAAAATGGACTTGTAAACTATGGATTCAATGATACAATCGAGTATATATTTAAGGTAGTCAAAGGCACGAGAACGAAATGAGAATTTTCAGTAATTTTTTTGCTATAAATATGGCATAATAATACAATGTTTTGACTTGAAGTCACGAAAATTTCAAAAAAAAAAAGTGGTAATTTCCAAAGTAGTAGCTGTCTGTTTTGACCCAGTTCCAAAAAAAGGCCTTTGCGCTGACAATCATAAGTCCTTGGAGATTCATCTAAAATCAATCGGATGGAAAAAATTAGTTTTATAAATAGATAATCCTGGGCCTGATAGAAGCTGTTTTTTTAAAATTAACAAAATGGCGGCCTCAGAAATTTTTTTTCTAAATTTTTGGGAAAAAATCAACAGTTAATTGGTCTTAAAAATCGAAATTTAAAAAAAAATTCGTCGATCAGGCACGAGTTTATTATGTACTCTAAAAGCTGTATAAATTTCATTAGAATCTACTGAGCGGTTTTCGAGTTACAGTTGCCACCAGTTCAAAAAACATAGTTTTGAGAAAAACGCATTTAAAGTTTCTTTGTCATTTGGCGAATAACTCAAAAAGTAATTATCGGATCAACTTGAAATTTTCAGAGAATACTTTTAAGATATTACACTTAACGAAAATGTAGAAACTAACCCCTTAAGAGTTTACAAAATAGGTTTGGAAAATTTCGTTCAGTAATCTTGGTATAAACCTAAACAGTAGTGATACAGTATTTCATCTAATCGAGTCTTTCTTAATTATTACACACGCACAGTTTAAGCGAATATTAAGTTTTCCAAAAGTTTAAGGATATCTTCAGCAACATTTTTTAAATTTATGCGTATTAAATGATAACTGTATAATAAATAAAATATTATAATCAGTGCTTCAAATTGAGCAACACTTTATTTCCTTATTTTTTTTTAGCTATTGTAAAAGAATATTTCAAAAGCTTTTTAGAACGATATAGCTAACGAATCGTGCTACAAAAGAAAACCGTAATAACTTTTTTACTGTGTGAGTAATCGACTTACTTTTTTTATTTGGATTATTATTAATATTTTTTAAATGAATGCTTGGGCTGTTGCATCGTCAATTAAGGCAAATCTAAAAGTTCCGACTTGCAACTTATCGGAGCAACTTGAGTTAGCGGACGGTCATTACAACGGATATTTCATGATGACTTAAATTTGTTTCCGTACAAAATTCAAATAACAAGACGGTTAAACTTCGGTGACAATATTTTGCCCGGCAAAATCTGAGATGGTTGTTTTTAGTCATCAATTTTTACTATATTATAATTCACTGAAAACCGCGACATAGCAACACAATTTTATTCAATTCATTATTATTATTTTTTAATTTCTAAGCCCGGGACGGCCGAACGCTTAATTCGGAATCCGGACTGTCTTGGCCAAACCGGTACGAACTAAAATGAAATGGCCGAAGAAGACAATAACTTGAAAGATTGCCTGTTTATGTCTGATGAAGTGCATTTTGATCTAAACAAACAAAATTGCCGTATATGGAGTGAATCAAATTCAGAAATAATCCACGAGACGGAAGTTCACCCAGAACGAGTCACTGTGTAAGGTGCGCAGATTCATCAAGGTGTATTATCGGGCCATACTTCTTTGAAGAAAACGGTGTAACAGTAACCATCAATGTCACCGTTTTTTAAAGATATTGAATGAGTTTTTTTTTTACCCAGAACTGCACCGAAGACGTATTTCTTTCAATACCGTTTTGTTCCAGCAAGATTGAGCAACTGCACATTTGACCAGACCGGTTATTGCGGAGCCAGAAATCTGGCTGAACAGAAGCAGTTAAATCAATAATTGAGGCAATCCCGACTTCAACCCGTAATGAATAATTTTCTAATTAGGTGTCGCATATGCGTGGCTGATTATGGAGGTTATTTACGGTCCATAATTTTTACAAATAATTAATTATATAAAATAAAATTTAATATCTATACAACAAAAAATAAATGTAATGCATTGATTAAAAAAGATATTAGGGTTGGTTTTTGTACCATGATTCGTGAGCCACCCTGTATAATAAATTTTTATACTAACAATATATTTTTGCAATTATTTTATTGGAAAATAATTCGAATGAAGATATTTTTTTTGATAATTTTTAATATAATTTTAAAGTAGAATTGCGACGTCTAACAATAAAAAGTAATAGCCAATCACTTTAAGGAAAAAGAAACATTGATATGTTGTCGCGCATACAAATTAGAAGGGCATAAGACGCGTCGCAATTGTTCTTTATTCCACTTGTTACATCTTTACATTTTGTTAGACCGTTGCGATAATCCTCCTTGTAATTGTCCGGCATCAGCAAATCGATTTGTTTCAATGCGCTTTCATACAGAAATTTGCCTTTCTTCATCTATAAGTGAGACACACAGAGCAGATTTTTAATTTATCAGATACCATATAACTTGCCAAACATTACTCATACCGTCTGCATCATTTCCATGATGCAATTAATATAACATTTTACGTCCTTCGTGTCTGGAACATTACCATCTTTGATGCCATCTGCCACTTCTGAAAATTAAAAAAATAATCAAATGAATGAGATAAATCGGGAGGAAGAAATAAGTAATGCTAAATTTATGATCAACACCAGAAACTAGATTTTAACTCACGGAACTATGAACAGCCCCTAATTTTCATCTAGTACACACCGT